TAGGCAGCATACAGGTAAGGGAATATTAAAAATACGCTCATAACTTGATGTGGTTAAAGTACCAAAAGTTTAAAATGGAGCGTAGACCCTGACATTTTTTTTTCTCTATTGTGAACGCATAGCGAGGCAAGAAATGGTCGAGATTCCGGACAAAGTGCTGTTATGCAGTGATGATACGCTACACTTTGTAATAAAGTCCAGTTTTAGCAGACTACAACTGCTCCTCTAGTCAATGGTCAGGATACATTTTAAAATAATAGTCCTCCCCTTTTAGAGCTCTAAATAAATCAACCCTGCCCTATAGTTCTGAGCTGCTGAAACTTTATAAATGCCTGCCACGTTCTCTTAGATCCTCTGACCAATGTCTGCTGGTCATTCCGCACACGCACTTTAAAGACCAGAGCGATCGAGCTTTTCAAGCAGTGCCCCCAGACTGTGGAACGCGCGTGCCACTTTGCTTGGCACTTTAAACTCTGTGGAGCCTTTTAAAAAGCAGCTGAAAACCTTGTGTTTAGACAAAGAACATATATATATATAAAGATATATCATATATAGAACATTAATTGTTTTATGTTTTGATGTTGTGTTTTGATGTGTATATGTAGCAGTGGTGTTCCTTGTTTTAAACACATGATTCTCCTTTTTATCGTGATTTCACTGTGAGCACTTTGTGAATCCTTTCTGTGAAAAGTGCTATATAAATAAACTTTACTTACTTACTTACTCTTCTTCCAATTTATTATGAAACCCAGGCTTTGACAGATGCGATACGAGATGTACCGTCTGTAAAGCGACTTCCTCCCTGGAGCGAGCCAGCAAATAGCAGGTCGTCCAGAGAAAACCACACTCTCATCCCTCCTCTGTGTAGTGGCTCCAGCCTTCTCTACACAAAAATGCGAGGAGCCAGGAAATATCCGGACGGCAGACGATTGTCTGGTCTGATATTCCCTGAAATGAGAAAACGCAGGAATTTCCTTTGTTTCGGGATGATGGGTACGTGGAAGTATGCATCCTTCAGGTGGAAGTGAACCAGTCGTCCTGGTGAACACATTCCAGCACCTGTTTGATCGTCAGCATGTGGAATACTGACAGATCGAGGATGTCTCATTCCCCCAGTCTTTTTCGGGATTTAGAAAAATAACGGGAGTGAAAACCCCTGATTTTCCTCCCTTGGAGGAACCCTGGAAATATCCTCTTTCAACAGGAGTTCCAGCAGCTCGGATTGGAGCGCAAGACATAGCGGCTCCAGGGACATGCTGCCGTCCACGTGCTCCTGGACGGGCCAATCGTCCTCGTCGGCCGCAGCAGCGAGAGCGTCCGCTCTTCGCTTCCTGTCGGCTGATGGGAGACGGGCACAATGTGAGCAAGCGACCTGCTGGCTGAGAGCCGCGTCCACGTGCTCTGGCCCCAGGCAGGATTCGCACATTGCGTGCTGGTCATAGCTCATGATATATCCTGAGCCACGCGAGGGACAATTTCGGACGCAGTTGTTGCTCATGATGTTTAATGTTTCTGTGCTTCAGTAATTGCCGTGGTTTGCTGAAGAAAAGAGGGAGCAGATTGCCGGGCCTCCTTCCTATTTATACCGGAAGGAGGCCCGAGGGCGGGGCCCACCTTGCGGGTGGGCGTGGACTACAAGTGTTTCAGTGCTGCGCGGGTGCGCAGGGGGATTACCCAATAGCGAAATAGAACAACAACCTGCCACAGATGTTATTTTAAACAGATATTGACATTGGCTTTAATTATACATAATATTAACGTGTCATTTCTTGGTGAGATTGTTCAAGTGAAATGATCCCTATAATCCTAGTTTCTTTCTCAGAACATTTCCCTGTTTTTTCACATACAATGGACCTATTTGCTTTATCGTCCCTGTTTAAATTTATGAAAAATACTACTTTCGGCAATTTATCTAGTTTTATTTTTATAAAAAATGTGTCATATCCGATGACACTGATACTGCATTACTACATTAATACCAAGATACATTTTGGAGGATTATAATTCAGAGTCATCTCCCGAATTCATACATAACGCACGATACAGTGTCTCATCTCGTCTCCTTCTTTAAAAGATAGTTTGTTAAAATAGGCACCCTGCATTAGAGGACACTGTCAGGAATGAAAGAGTCACATGATCAGTGTTTCTTGCATGCCTCTTACCTCGCTCTGCATGTCACTCATCTCTCTGGCGAAGCTCGTCTCTGACGTGTCGGGCAGAGAGGAGTAGAGGGAGCTGGACGCCTCCTTCTTCCCACTCTCCCTGTACTTAATCTGGAGAAATGGAAATCGAGAAAAAAGTGAATAATCTTCATGAAACTATTTAATTCCCCGTGTTTGTGTAGAGCATTGAACCCACCTCACTGAGGAGCTGAGTGCTCTCTTTAGCGTGCTGAGTCTCCAGAGTTTCAGGCAGCAGAGAGTACAGGCAGCTGTTCACCTCCTTCTTTCCTGCTTCCTTATACTTTGCCTGCACACATCAAAACCCCTTTTGGTTATTAAATATTACAGCTAATTACAGCTGCATTTCTAAATCACTCCTGCACAATCAGCCTCTCTGTTGCATGTTTGCATCAAAGCTCTCTGCAGGAAGTCCTTTTCTATTCTTTTTTAATTGAATTCATGTTTCACAATCCAACAGAAAGCGAATAACATCACTAGAAGGTGTGATATTCTTCCGTCACAGTGCAGAATAAGTTATTACAATTATGCTATCATATAAATAACTGCAGGAGCCTCTGCCTTTAAAAATCTGACATGTTTTAGTGGATTTTCCATGAAAGCTTTGGATGAGAGTGAAGAGTACTTCACGAAGAGGCTCAGCACATAAAGAGTTCTTCACTGTAACTATAGAACAGTAAAATACCCTCTACCTTTTATTTCACACTGATACAGCGTTCTGTTGAGGGACAAAAACTGGATTTTCTCTTCCTTTCCTGCTTCCGGTAAAAAATAAATACATTTGAAAAGGTGTTTGGTACCTGGCTCTGCAGGTCAGTCAGCTGTTTGGCCAGCTGAGTCTCGGTGGTCTCTGGGAGCTGATGGAACAAAGTGCTCTGATTCTTCTGCTTCACTCCTTCCTTATACTTTACCTGCAAGAAACAGGACACAGTGTCACATTGATTTAAAAAATATACGTCACATTTTACATGGGCAAACTTATTGGAAGATACGACTAAATGAGTTGAGTGTCAGCCTACTGCCAAAGAACCCTGTACCTTTAATAAAGTGCTTTAGTTTGTCCAGTTTATGCTACTTCCTATTTCATTGTACAGGGAAATGTTGTACTTGCTGCACTACAATTATTTAACGGCTATATCTTCTGGCCTATCCAAGGAAATATCAAAATATAAGCGAAACAACAGTATTTCTATTTATTTATCTATAAAATGTCAGAAATGGTTGCATGCATACCTCACTCTGCAGGTTTGTAACCTCTTTAGCGTGCTGCGTGTCGATGGTCTGAGGCAGCAAGGAGTACAGGTTCATGCTCATCTCCTTCTTCCCCTCCTCTTTATACTTCACCTGGACGAATAAAGAAAATGGAGACAAATTAAGAGCAAAAGTATAAATATAAGAAGGAAAGGGAACTGAGTTACAGAATAGACAATTTAGAGAATACAAATAACAGAAGTAGTGTTTCCTATAAAATAATTGAAAATGCTGACATTATTTTAGCTTCGTGAGCTTATGTTCAACATGTGGATACATATTTATTATTAATACAATGGTCTCTGTGGTGTTAATGTGGTCTTTGTACCTCACTGAGGAGCTCGGAGACCTCTTTAGCGTGAGCCGTCTCTAAGGTCTCGGCCAGCTGGGAGTACAAACACGAGTTCACCCCCTTCTTACCCGCCTCTTTGTACCGCATCTGCAGAAGAAGAAACATTTGTTTTAATGTGCTGTAAACTATTAAAATCTTTACAAAAATCAATAGTCTCCAAGGATCAGTAAATAAGAAAGATGATTAAATGATTATTCATTACCTCACTTTGCAGCTCTGCAACACTCTTAGCAAACTGCGTCTCCTTGGTCTCTGGGAGCTGAGAATAGAAACTCTGAGAGATGCTCATCCTGCTGCCCTCCTTATATTTACTCTGAGAGAGGAGAAACATATCTGTCATCAGGAAAAATATAGATTTGATTGCAATACGTTGTAAGGAGTATTGGGAAGAGTTGAACTCTCATTGTCATACATTTAATCCATCATTTTTAGGAGGTGTAATATAAATAAAATCTTACTTCCTAACTTGTTCAATCAAACTTGAATGTACACTTCAAGTACTTTTAAATACATATATTGTTAGATTTGCGTTTGATTATCACAGATTGGGGAATGAAGGTTTCACAAGCATTGTACAGGAGTCAAAATATACACATAACCATACTAGAATGATATATATTTATAGAGTATCTATAGAATGCACAGTATAAAGAAATACTTTGGAATACAGTATAATAAACCAAAGTAATACAACTAAATAAAACTATATACATTTTTGTAAAGAATGCAATGAGATAGTGTGGATTTAAAGATGTGTAAACTGTGCAGGATCATGGCTGGAATGTTTGAGACATTATGAACTGCTGGATCAAAACACAGTCTCGCCTGGTTGTGACCAAACAAACTAAACTCTCTCTGTAGACAGTGTTTACCTCGCTCTGCATTTCCGTCATCTCTCGTGCGAACTGGATCTCTGAGGTGTCGGTCAGCTGGGAGTACAGAGAGGAAGGAGCGCCTTTCACCAAAAGACTGGGCCGACAATTCACCTGCAGGAGAGAGAGATGAGTGCTGAGTGTCACTACTAAGACTACATTTCCCAGAATTCCTGTGGCTTCCCTTCTATGTCTGTTTCTATGTACCTCACTCTGCATCTGGGACATCTCCATAGCGTGCTGTATTTCTGGAGTTTCTGGGAGTTGGGAGTAGAGAGAGATGGAGGCCCTCCTCTTCCCGTCTTCTTTGTACTTTTTCTGAAACAAATCACTGTGTGTCAAAATAACATTCACTCAAGCACTATACTCATGACGGAACCTTAATGTTGTTGACAGTTTTCAAAATCTCAGTTTGTTTTGGGAAACAAAGAGATTATGTAATGTTTTTAGCTGATTGCAATGTGTGTACCTGCCCAGGGACTGCAGATGGAAATCTTAAACTTGAATTCATATTTCTGTGTTTGCTTTATGTATTTAATAATTTGCAGCCCCAAACCTGCGGTTGCAGCATTAAATAATCTTAATGTGTTAATGCCCACTCTGGGTTTATCTGATGAAATATGTTGAAAATCAACCAAAAAAAGATATACCTCGCTTTGAAACTGGTGTACGGTTTTGGCCAGCTGCATCTCAGAAGTTTCTGCCATCTGAGAGTACAAACTGCTGCTCATCTCCTTCCTCCCTTCCTCCTTGTACTTGTTCTGAGGAGCAGACAGAGTTTCATCATAAGTGGATCATTAATTCATCCAAGATGTTTTCCATTCATCCATCTATCTGTTTATTCATTCATCCTCTAGGTATCCATTTATATCCACTTTTATTCATCTATCAAACATAGACCCATCCATCATCTTTCCCTCCATCAGTCTTTCATTCATTTTTTAAATAATGTTAACTGTCCATCCATCCTTCCCTTTATGAAAAACTCTCCATCCATCGACACCATAAATTAATCCTTCCACCAATGAATACATTATCGATTCAACCATCCACCCATGTGTACATTTTGTATCCATAGCGTTATTCATCAATCGATGTATCACGTATTCATCCTATCTTCAGAACACATCTATTCATCCTTTCATGCATTAATCCATCCATCCCGTCTGACCTCACTGAGAATCTCCGTCAGCTCCTTGACAAACTGAGTCTCTGTGGTTTCTGGCAGCAGAGAGTAAAGAGAGGGGGACATCTTCTCTTTGTACTTCAGCTGGAACACAAACACAAACAGTCACTTTCTCCACACGGTAGAAAGTGTTTTTACATAACTCAGATAAATACTGTAACTATAAGTGTCAGTACGTCGCTCTGCAGCTGTGAGGCCTCTTTGGCGTGTTGAATCTCAGGGGTCTGCGGCAAAATGGAGTACAGAGACATGGACGCCTCCTTCTTCCCCTCCTCTTTGTACTTCGACTGAAACACATTTCAGAAAGAAATATCATGGTGATGGATCGACATAATTTTATCCTTCCATTTCTAGACATAAAGAGTGTTTATTTTAGAGAGTGAGGAGATCTAGGCTGCTTCTTGCTTCTTGAATGGGCTGATTAAAGGTTTATAATGCATTACGTCACATACACTCCTCATTAGGTGTGTGTGTGTGTGTGTGTGTGTGTGTGTGTGTGTGTGTGTGTGTGTGTGTGTGTGTGTGTGTGTGTGTGTGTGTGTGTGTGTGTGTGTGTGTGTGTGTGTGTGTGTGTGTACCTCAGATATCACGGCACTGATGTTCTTGGAGTGGATGAGTTCGGCTCCAGGAACAAACAGACTCTGACCCCTCATCTTCTCAAAGTCCTCCTTATACTTCACCTGCAGGACGCAAGAGAAATGTGGGTGCGGGTGTGTGTGTGTGTGTGTGTGTGTGTGTGTGTGTGTGTGTGTGTGTGTGTGTGTGTGTGTGTGTGTGTGTGTGTGTGTGTGTGTGTGTGTGTGTGTGTGTGCGCGCAAGCTGAACTCCTGTTGAACTCTATCCTCAGGAGGACGATGCGTTGGATGTTTTGCAGAGTCGTAGTCTCTCTCTTTGTGTGTAGCATTAATAAATTACGTATAAAAACGGCTGCTATGTCTAAAACATTTAAAAGATGCACAAATACCAGAGCATTCACATAAGGGGGAAGATAGATCAAATGCACAGAACATGTAATATAAATTGCGTTCAGGTGTCTTCATTTGATTTAAATTATGTTTAAGATGAAACACTGCTTTATACGATTTGGAGTGTTGACAAACTTTTGTTAAATTACTTTAAAGCATTTTAATACAAATGAAGGCCTCTTTTTTAGATAACTACTATTAAACATGTTTGCTTCATGTGCTGTTTTTCTTCATCCATAAAATGAATATAAATGTCCTTTAATAAATGTAAATTGCAATAACCAAAATAAAGAAAATAGAACATATATTATTTGGGAGAGGTAACGTTTTACCAAAAATAATCATTCATAAAACGTTTTGTGCCTATTGAAGTGAATGCAAAAGGCCTTCAATACATTATTTCAAATGATAATATTAGACACATTTTAAATAAAAATCCTACTTTTTATTTATAATGTTGAAAGATTGATTTTAGACATTTAAAACTAATTGGACCTTATTTTAAATGAATAAATTCACTACATGTTCTCTGCATGAGCTGTCTCTTGGCATTACAGCAGCATGAAGCTAAACTTTAAAGAGGCGTGCGTCTCCATGGTAACAACAAGATCTCTGAACTGTTGTTCAACGACTTTACATTTTCTTGCTCAAAGTTTATCTTCGCAGCAACACTCAGAAACACATAAATAAAAAAGGTTAATTTAAATAATGAATAATTTAAAGAACTACTACATTATGCCAGTAACTATGGAAAAATAGACATTTTAAGTATATTTAAATGAGGCAGAGAGACAGGAAGAAGGATTTATAACGTGCGTTCACTTGATGAGTCATTCTGCAGTTATTCTGCCAACTTTGACTCACAGGGAATCAATCTCTCGCCTCCCACATGCTGCACCAGCGTCACCCTCATTCAGCATTTCACTGCTCTGAAATACTTCACATTTTTCAACATCTCCTCGGGTTGAAAAAAGGCCAGTCATTGCCCCTTTAGAGGGATGGTTACCAATAGCAACCCGGTTAATATCAGAGGCAGCAGAGGACGTTCACACTCAAGAAGATTTTGATTCACGAGGTGAAGCTGCAGCAGATATTACACACCAGAATATCTGGGTCACCATCACACAGATGCAACACTGCGCTCACCATGGAGGGGATTCTTTGGATATATTACTGTTGGATTATCTCAGGTTATTTCTTCAAACCAGGGCTTGAAAAAATATCAATATTTCATAATATCATATAACATATTTTATTATATAATAGTATGTAATGTTATATAATAGTATATTATATTATATATATTCTATTTTAATTATATTATAATATTTTATGATATCATATTATATTATGTCAGCATTATACTTCATTTTCACTGCATTTCCAAGAAAAATGTAGTAATTTTCGACTGTACTGCTGTTTTGGGTATTATATCGATATTATATCTTTATTGCGATACGAGACTAGCTATTCTCATAAATCTGGATATTGTTGTTTGGCATAAGTTTTGTTTTTCCAAGGGGTTTTAAAGGCAGCATTACAGTAAAGTGGTGTTGTGTTCTAATAACATATAATGTGTATGATTTGTCTTTACCCACTTAGTCATGATATCCACATTACTGATGAACATGTATCAATACTCTAAGTGTGTAAAGATTTTTGTGAAAGCACAGCTCTTCTTTTTATAATAAATGAAACTACAATTTATTAGAGATATTTGTATAAATAACAAAATGATCTGAGAGTGACTTACTTCACTGACGATCAGGCTGCACCTCCTGTTGAACGCAGGGTCAGGAAGAGGAGGCTTTTCATCAGAGGACACCTAAAAAGCACATACATGCACATTTGACTTCACAATTTTGTGCAGTTCATCTGTAAAAATATCCACTTTCTGATTGAAGGAGCCTCTCTGTTTTAAACCATCATAAAATATAATCTCTGTTGCACCTATAATTAGTAATATTGCCAAACTGAATTATCTCTTATAAAACTGAGATGTTGAAATCTGTAAGGAGCCTTTTCTGAATCATGCAGTGTTAATCCTTCGCCTCCTTTATCAGTTCCTAAAAGCCCCAATATCAGAGGCTAATAATGGTTTCACTAATCCTCTCTAAGCCGTATGAGAGCTGCAGTGTCGAGGAATACATCTGCACTTCATCAGGAACAAAACCTCAAAAACATTCAGCTGCAGTTTGGAAACAATGTGTGGCCTTTTGGAATTTGTCCCTTTACACAATTCAAACCATCCTGAAATACGATCATTAAAAAGCTGAGACATCATACGAGCACAGCCACCTCAGTGTGATCTAAAAGGTAACTCATTAATTAGCTGTCTTCTCACATGAACACAAAGCAGAGGAATGTTTTCCACACGAATCAAGTAGTTGTAGGAACCCACAGATCTTTGAATCATGAATTTCATTTCTTTGGTTTCTAATCTGATTATTTTTAGGATTTATTGAGCTGAATAAGGACTTTTGTTGTTTATGTTGAGTTTTAAAAGTCAAACTCACCTCTGCTTCCCAGGATCCCAGAACCTTCTTAGCCTGAGCCTCATCTTCCTCTCCTCCTTCCTCATCTTCTTTAGCTTTCTCAGTTTCCTCCAACGTCTCCTCCACGATCGTACTTCTTGTAGTTGCGGAAAAAAACGTTTTCGCAACCAGGGTCTCCTGCAAGGACTCTCCTGTCTCCTCCTCTCCTCCTTCCTCCTCTCTCTCCTCCTTGCTTGGTTTCTCAGTTTGCACCTCCACCTCCATCCTCTCCTTCTCCCCGGTCAGAACTTCTCTCCTCTCTGCAGCTGGAGTCTCTTCTTCCTCCATGTCGTCACCTCTGAGGAAAAAACGCATTTGACTTGCTATGCTGTTTTCATTTATTCATGCAATTCCTAAAAGTACACATTTTAATCTGACATATAATACAAATATACTGTATATACTGTACTACGTGATATTTGGTCTTATCTTTTGATCTATATAGCTTTTGTTTCTCCACAAAGAATCATCCAAAAGCAACACTTTGAATCTCGTGTTCACCACATATGTGCTAATAAAGAAAGCTCAATCATAACCATACATTATTTTGAATGAAGAAAGGCCTGACACGTGAACAAACTGACTAAAACTTCAGGCTTCATCTCACAGACTAACTTTTCCGCTCAAGGTGACATTTTCAGCTTCATCAAAGTCATCGTGTTAAATTCCTCAATGCTCGGCCTTCCTTTTCTTTAAGGTCATCAATCAGAGGTCAGTAATCACCAGCCTCTTCACAAACATTATCCTCTTTAGCAACCTATCATCAAATGAGCTCAACGTTACACTCACCTTGTCCGATTTAGGGTCTCTTAATAGAATTTTTCTCTCCAAGCGTTGCTTATTGTTTTCTCAGTATCTCCAGATGCCCTCCTACTAGAGAATTGATGTCACTATTTCGTCTCCTGAAAGCTTTAGATGCTGTTTTACAGATTTTTCTCACTCCTCAGTCTTCCTTAACGTCTAAAATCGACTAACGTCCGCCTCATGTGATGTCAGTCTGTCTTCTGTCGCTCGTTGGGAACTTCTTATCACTTTTAACGTCCACATTTAGCCCCCTACTCAAAACCTTATCACCACCGTGCCCTTCATCCAAACACAGTGCCAGGCTGGGTACAGTGTGTGTGTGTGTGTGTGTGTGTGTGTGTGTGTGTGTGTGTGTGCGTGCGTGTGTGCGTGCGTGTGTGCGTGCGTGCGTGCGTGCGTGCGTTGAGGGTTGAAGGTGAGTTCGGAAAATATCGTAAGCTGAAAGGAATGCTCTTGCAACGTTCCTTTTTTTACTAGCTGTCCTGCATGTGTGTGTTCAGGTGGTAATGGTCATTAAGACAGAGTGTGTTTGTTTTAACACAACACACACTGACTGACTGCTGACATATCTCTCAGGTAAATAAACACTCAAGCAACAAGCTTTAGGGGCAGGAACGGATACAAAAGCCCCTTTAGTGGCTAATGTTAAGATTTCTTATTCCATTTAAAAAATAAAAATTAAGTATCAACAGAAAGAAAGTTCAAATTATGTTTTTACTTTTGCTTTAAAGTGAAGTTTATGTAATCACTTCAGTGCATTGAATCCACTTTCTAATAATTCCCGATGTAATATACGTTTTTATTTGTTATTTTTTCAGTGAAGCTACCGTTTCTTTTAGTTTAAAATACAAAAGGAGGTCTCACATTTCAGGGGAGCATGGATATATCACTCTTTTATGACAATCTTTAAAGCTAATGTGAAGTGTCCTATAACCTGTTTTTAAAGTTTAGAGCCTGAAATGTAGCTTACTGAATTGCAAACGCTGTGAGATGTAGAGCAATGCAATGATTGGGGAGATTAAGGGTAAAGGTATGTACACAAACTAATGAAAATAAAAGCCATTACTTCTTAACCTCCTCTGTGTGGTTGTTGACATTACTCACCATAAAGATGAATAGTATTGCGACAGAGTCCTGACAGCAGCAGGTATCTGGCAGTGAGGAGCGTCAGATGGCAGCCGAGGTAAACAGGACAGCGCCCATCTGCTGATACACAACGAGAAGCTTCACAACAACAACAAGAAAATACAAATGTATCCACAACAACAATAGCAACAATGAGAGAACACTAATTTATCCTTAACAGCAACACGAAAACACAAATGTATACTAAGCAAAATTAAGAAAACACTAATGTATCCTCACCAACAACAAGAAAAGGCATATTTGTCCACCAAAACAACAAGAAAACACAAATGTATCCTTAACAAAATCATGAAAACACTAATTTACCCTTAACAACAACACGGAAACAATAGTTTATCCATAAAAATAACATGAAAACACTCTTATCCTAAACAACAACAAGAAAAAACAATTTATCCTCAACAACAACACCAAGAAAACACTTATTTATCAAACAACAACAAACAGGTGATGAAGAGGTTATTCTGCATTAAAGGCCTTACAAAATCTGAGAGTGATATATCCCGAAATCAAAACAGAAACATTTAAATATCTGGTGGGCAATTCTGTGTTTGATGACAATAGACATATATTCGAAATGAGTATCACCCCATCTATAAAATACAATTTGTAATTATTCTGCATGAAAGAAGCATCAAAAAAAGAATTATTGCATAAAGTAACATTTCGGTCGACTTTCCACCTCCGCCAAATGTAGAGTGTATTTTGTGCGATTAATCTTTCTAATCTGTAGTCACACCCACAATAAAGCATAAAAACAGAGACTCATCCTGATTACAGAGGTCTTTAAACACAACATGGCTGTCTGAATAACAGCTGAGTCTGCAGTAGACCTCTGGGAATAAATCTGTCTCTAGTCGGTGCTAAATTAAGAGACACAGCTTTCAGGTGGTGAAAAAATGAAAAGGAAAAAACCTCTCTGTTTCTCTCTGCGTCACAGATAATACATTCAGAAACACACAAAGCTGTGATCTCATCATGATGGTTCTTTGGCAGGGAGAACACACTGCTCTGCATGCAGAAACTGACGATGAATGCTAATTATGTATTTTCTGTGAGATCAGGAAACATTTTTAAACATAAATTCCACCCTCTACTCTCTCTCTCTTCGACCTTGAGAAGAGCGGAGTAATCAGATAAAAGTGTAGGGCTGTTGAATATCACACAGAGAGAGTTAATGTGTGTGAATTAATTAAAGTGAAGCTAATGGAGATGAGAGAATCCGGGGTGTATTACCGCGGCGGAATAATGGGATCACTCAGTCAGGTAAAGAGAGGAGAGGGGAGAGAAACAGAGAGCACAGAGGAGAGGACAGAACAACAAAGGGAAGGAGAACAGGCAGGAGGATCAAATCAAAGCCCAAATGTGATTTATTTTCTACTTTAAGATCAAATAAATGTTTTTGGAGCCCCAAAGGACAAATGTATGTGTTACTTTAGCACAGGGGAAGACACAAAAAACGTTTTAAGTATAGAAAATAAAAACAAGAATATAACAAATAAACTAGAATAGAATACTTTTTTTATCCCATCTTTGAATCTGTGTCTCACAAAGTGACCTACAAGTATAGTACATTTAAGATTAAAATATTAATAACATCTTCTACTGCACACCAGAATAGTTCATTGTAATGTTTTTTTAATGCACATAAATGAATGTTTAATGTGCATTTCATGCTTTTACACCAACATTCTTCCTGTTTTTATATGATCAACTGCCAAGGCACACA